GAGAGAGAGAGAGAGAGAGAGAGAGAGAGAGAGAGAGAGAGAGAGAGAGAGAGAGATCTTCTTCTTCTTCTTCTTCTTTTTGGTGCGCAGTTGGCAGCGGCGCGTGTCGAGTGACCAGGCGGGACAGCGCCTCGACGCCGGCCAGTGCCCGCCCAACGGTCGTCGCCATCGCCGCGTGCGGCCTTTTCCAGCGCGCGGCCATTTTAGTGCCCGGCCGCGGCCGAGCGAGGCCAGATCCGGCCGATTGCGGCCGAACACGGTTGATTGCCGCCGAACACGGCCGAGCACAGTCGATTTGCTTCTCCGCGCCGAGAGAGGCTGCCAGGCCGGGTTCCGCGGGGGGCAGAGGCGGCGCGACAACTGTGGGACGTGGCAGTGGCTGGAGTGGGGACGTCAGGGACTACATCGACGGTGCGGCGATGTCAGACGACATCGACGATCATCGCGACGACTTGTTAGATTCGGGGGGGGGGAGCAACCAGCGGTGCGGGGGGGTCTGGGGGTGCCCAGTTCAACCCGCTGTCCGAGAAGGAGATGGCGAAGTTGAGGCGGGGGAACTTGGTTTGGAACTTCGTCACGGCGGGGCAGTTTGTCGGGGACCAGTCCAAGATGCATGGGGACCAAAAGTTGCATTGCAACTTATGCGGCCACCTGTTTCAGGGGGGGTCGTCGAAGGCCGCGCGCCATTTCACGCAGTCGAAGTACTACAAGGCTGGGGGGATGAGAGTTCTCGCGGAACTCTGGAACGCCACAGACTTCACATTCGTGTCGTTCACTGCTCAGTGGGTGCAAAGGTGGATGGCGGACGAAGGGGATACGGGACACGAGAGCGCCCGCGGGTGGCCAGCGACAGCGGACGGACGACGGAGAGAGGGACGATATTCAGGACGCCCTCGATGAGGAGGAGGGCCGCGAGGGTGGGGCCAAGGAGGGGGGGGTGGGAGACGAGGCAGATGAGGCAGTCGGAGAGCCTGACCTGCCAGGGGAGGAGGTGGTGATGACATCGAGAGGTGTCGGTCGAGCGGGTCCCGCTCCTAGGGCACCGCGACCTGAGTTGGAGCACGCGAAGAGGAGAAGAGGACAGTGGGGCAGGCTGACGTCGAGGTGCGCGACACGGGCAGGGAGAAGAGGGCTCGGCAGAGGACAATTGACGAAATGTACGCCAAGGAGAAGTTGGCCAAGTTCACAGACGCATGGCTGCAGTGGATCTACGTGAAGGGGTTGCCATTCAACGCCTTTCGTGGTCTGGAGTTCCAGAGGGTGCGACAGACGGCACAAAGAGTGCCTCGCAGTGTCCAGATCCATTTTCCCTCGTTCAGGGTTACAGTGGGTGCCGGTATTCCTTCGCAGAGGGCGAAGGTGGCGACGATGGTGAGTGAGGTGCGCGTCGCTTTCTGACACAGCGGTGCCACCATCCTCTCCGACGGGAGGAAGTCGCGTAGCGGCAAGCCGCTCGTGAACTTCCTCGCAGGGGGCGCCAACGACGCCTTGCTCTACGCCACCGTCGCACGTGACGGGTCGGTTCGAGACACAGCAGACATCGTGCACCGTAGGCGGCGGGCCATCATCTTGTCCTTTCCTGCAAACGACGTGATCGGCTTCTGCACTGACTCCGCCAGTAACTATATGGCGGCGGCGCGCAGATTCGCCACTGACCCTGACCACGACATTAGGAGGATCACTTGGCTCCCCTGCTCCACCCATGTCTGCAACTTGATGTTGTCAGATATCGGGACGCGAGTGGGGTGGGTCAAGGACACCATCATCCGCGCTCGGGCGCTTGTGCAATTTATTAAATCGCGCGGCGCTGCTCACGCCCTGTTTAGGAAGGCGAGCCCTCGCGTTCAGCTCGTTGAGCCCGTTGAGACACGGTTCGAATCGGTTTTTCTGATGCTGACGTGTCTCAAAGGCCGACGAGACGCGTTGGAGAGCATGTTGCACGGGGATGCTTGGGCACGCATCCCGTGGGAGCGCAGGCATGTATCGCAGACGCAGTGGGTGCAGCAGCGGATCCAGGACGCGGAGTTTTGGCGTTCTGTCCAGTACGCCCTCCTTATCATGGCACCCGTCCACCAGCTGTTGCGCAGGATGGATAGGGGGGGGATGATGATGTCCGTCGTTTACGAGTGGAGTCAGCATGTGCTGCAGTTGACGAGGAGGGTCGACGTGCCGGAGGACATGATCGAGTCATGCGTGCGTGAGGTTGCCATCCGCAACCTCCACATGCTAGAGCCCGCACATGCCGAGGCCCACCTCCTCAACCCTCGTCGACGGTCCCTCACGTATTACGAGTCGTTACAGACGACCGCCAACGACGCCCGTGTGGTCGAGGAGTGCGACAGATTTCTTCTGACGCAGACTGACGGTGATTCAGTCGGTAGACTGTACAGGACCGTGAGGGACCAGATGAGGGCCTTCCACTCGAGGCGAGGTGATTGGGGAGATCGGTCCCTCTCGGATGCCGAGGCGGACGATTGCAAGGGGGACCGCGAGACCGAGTGATGTGCAGCGTGGTAATTTGACCATGGACGGGCCCACCCGGAGTTGCGCACCATCGCCATCTATGTCATGCACTTGTGGGCGTATGCCTCTCCAACGGAGAGGAACTGGGCGCAGCACGAGCGCATCAACACGGCGAGGCGTGCCAAGCTTGGGTTTGCCAAGATTGCACTGCTGGTTGAGATTGCCACCAATCTCAAACTGGCCTCCTGCGCACGGCAGGGTGGTGGCTACGTGTTGCCATGGGTTATGGGGACCGGTCGGGAGGGGACGGCGGCAGAGGACGAGGATGAGGAGGGAGACGTGGAGCCCGAGGTGTGGGGAGCGCGACCTGCAGGCAGTGTTGCAGAGGTGGAGATCCAGCGGCAGATTGTCGCTTTTCATGACAGCCGACCGTCCAGAGCCCATTCGGTTCAGGACGTGTTCGGCAAGAGGGAGACGGAGCTGCGACCGTGGCCAGAGGGTGGGGATGATGTGGACGCTTATGCGGCAGACGACGACATCGACGACGAGTGGACAGACGATGATGACACGCCTCTGAGTGGCGACCCGACGGCTGAGCGGGTATACTTCACTTATGGTGGGGGACGAGACGACGTGGATTCATTCACATCAGTTATCACTGGTGATGTGTCGTCGACCGCACAGGCGAGTGGCAGCAGCAGAGCCACTGGTGGTCGTGGAGGACGTTCGTGTGCGGAGGTTGGCGTCAACGACTCAGGGGAGCAGCATCCACGGGGAGGTCTTCGGCAGACAGGCAGACGTTGGGAGGTTAGGAGCGACAGCGAGGCCGAGGAGGAGGCCGAGGATGAGCGGGTACCCCTTCACGATCGTCGCTTCTCTCCCTCCCATCATCGGAGCGCTGCACAACCCGAGGCACTTAGGCGTTCGGAGAGGTTGGCGTCGGCATCAGGCAGAGACCGGACACATGACGGTGAGGATCGTGGGGGGGATAGGACTCCTTCTGACGCCGGTATCCGCCCCCGCTCGCCGTCGGTGCTCCGCACACACGACTTTGACGTCGTAGGGCTTGGTGGGAGCTCGGGAGATTTCAGTGTCGAGGGACGTCGGCGTGCCTCACCGTCGGAGGTGCGCACCGACGCGGACGTTGTGTGGGGCACTGTTAAGACTGAGGAGGAGAGGGATGCCCGTTTGGACAGAGAGGAGGAGGAGCGGCTGGGGAGTTTGCCATGATGGGAGGGTCGGTTTGCGTATTTTGACGAGCAGCGTCGGCGGAGGGAGTTGGAGACAGGAGGGGGGGGAGGCCGTGACATCAACGACTCGGGTGTCCCTGAGGAGGCAGTTCAGGGGGAGTTCGATGATGAGGGACAGGATGCCGCCGCGGGTGGTGGGTCAGGTGGTGGACGACGCGGCGATGGGGAGACCGCAGGTGATGAGGGGCAGGATGTTGTCGTGGGCGGTGGGTCCCCTAGTGGGGGGTGTGGCGACAGCGAGACCGCGGGTGACGAGGGACAGGGTGCCGCCGTGTGTAGCAGAGGAGAGGGTGGACCCGGTGGAGATGGGGACACCGCGGGTGTCGGGGGAGATGATGGACCGGACGGAGATGATGACGACGACCACGGTCCCAAGGACGATGCGTATAGGCTCGCCTTGGTGTTGAGGGACCCCACAGTACCTCCCTTGCACCCTGTCAACACAGCGCACACTTTCTTTGACGTCGACGCTTTGGCGCAAGCGTTGACGGATGACCATTTCGCACACATGAGCCGCAAGAGCGGCAAGAGGCGGGCCCCTGGGAGGATATATTCACCGCCGCCGTTCGTGGTGGAGAGCCCTCACTGGTCGGGTTCGACACTCAGCGGCGTGAGAGGGAGGGAGTCCGGAGCGGGTGAGGTGGGGTCCGGCAGACGCAGCGACGGCGGCAGAGACAGTGCAGGATCGATCCCTCCACCGCCCGCACGGACTTCGGAGGCCGGGGTCGACGCCGGGGACCAGACGGTGACACCCGGAGTTGCGCAACGTGGCGGTTCCCCGCCGACAGTCTGAGGTGGTGTGGGTGGCAGATGGTCAGCTGTTCGTCGGGTCGGGGACCGGTTGCGGACGGATTACGACGCCGGGAGGGGCGTCTTCACGAGACGTATACCAGTTCAGACGCAGGCTGCGGAGGGTGGGTCCGGACGTCCGAGCCTGCAGATGGCAGGCCGGATGCTCGGTTTGTCATGAGCGGAGACGAGGAGATCATTGGTCCTCGAGGCCGCAGGGACATCCACGGACATGCTGCGGGGAGAGCAGTTCACATCGTGCGAGGAGGGGTTGTTCATGCGTCCCAGGACGAGACGACAGTGTGGCCTCTCAGAGGTTGAGGCTCGACTCGCAGCAGGGGTCGCCGCTGGCAAGGCAGCATTGGACGCGATTTAGAGGGAGAGAGAGACGGGGATTGCTGCACGGGCGGCGGAGGACGAGGACGCAGACACAGAGTCCGAGCCGATCGAGACTGCGGCTCGCAGACACAGGGCACAGGTGGCCGTGGCAGCCGCTGCAGCACAGGCGGCATACCTCAGCGGAGCACGGGGCACAGGTGCCAGAGGGAGAGGAGGGCGACGAGGAAGACCGCATGGGCGCCCGTCCTCCGGGAGAGGCCGCGCGCGCTCTAGAGGGAAATGACGACGTCCGTGGTATTTTTTTTTTTTCATTAGTTTTTTTTGTTTTTTGCGTGGCTGTATAGCCTGGACACTCTGTCGGCAGGGTTGTTGCATATTTATGTCGATGTTGTTCCATGGAGACGACGACAATATGTGGACATTAGTTTTTTTTTTTTTTTTTTTGCTACTCGGTTGTACAGTGGAGACCACGGGTCCAGTTTATGGCTTCAACCTTGTACATACACATTTCCATTGCAATGCTTTGTCAGTAGGGTCCAGTTTTTTTTTTTTGCTACTCGGCTGTACAGTAGAGACGACGGGTCCAGTTTTTGGCTTCAGCCTTGTACATATGCATTTCCATTGAAATGCTTTGTCGTATATTTGCTCTTGTTCGTGTTCCTCTACCAACATTGGTCTTGCATCTGAGTCGTTGTTGTTTGGTGAGTGGTTTCTGGTTTGTTGTCGTGATTGTTGCAAATTATGTGCTTCTCCAATGCCACGCACTTGCATGTCATGGATGCCTCCATTATGAATGTGCTGTTAATTTCGGATGCCAAATAGGGATGATGTGCTAATGAATGTGTTCTTACACAAACTTCCACCAGTCTGATGAGTGAACACACACTATGAGTCTATGACACACTTGCCTGTTTACATTGTTTGAAACTTATGGTTGGCCGCACTGTGATTGATTGTAAATGTGTTGTGACTTTGGTATGCCGACCAAGGCCTGACCTATGATTGCCATGAATGTGTTGTTTCAAAATATGTCACGAACTGTCATCACCCTCATGAATGAAATCGACGCCTGCCTGAGGCCCTCATCTGCCTGGGGTCTGCCATCTGCAGCCCGTCCAGCTTCGACCCGACCTGGCCGCACGGGCCGCCCCAACCAGGCCCTCATCCAACCCCCGTTGGGCTGCCCCCGCAGGGGTCAATTTTTTTTGAGAAAACTACGGCGCAGTCAGGGTTACAGTTTGTAATTGCATTCGAAACTGCGTTTTAGCAGTTTAGTCAGGGCCCGAGTTTCAATTGCAGTTAAAACTCGGGCTGCCTTTTTCTAGCAGTTCAGTCAGCCTGAG